TAGTCGAGCAGGATGGGCACTTGGATTAAGTGTCATTTTAGTGTTGGCATTCATCAGGTATATGTAGAAAGAATTTTTTACATTGTAAATCTAAACTTATTTCGTCTCATTAATTTTCTTCTTCTGTATAGTTTTATCACAGTTACATTTGTCATAGAAGCAATGGCATCTGCCAATGCTATTGTTATGTGGAGGCATATGCAACATCGAAAACGTGTAAGTGTTTTTCAACTTGTTTAGCTTTCTATACAGGAGAGCCGAGTGTACTACAGATATTTTAGAAAGATGTGCAAGGTAATGTTATGGCAAAGAGAGATAGATTGGTATATTTGATGTTAGCAGCGATACATACATGCATCATTTTTTTGTTATTTGTAACACATGTTGTAATACTGAAAACTAAAATACTTTTCAGATTTTACAGACAATAAGTGAACCTGGTCTTTCCAATTCAGATTCGGAGGACACTCCATTGGTAGCTCCTTCTTCAACCAGTCCAAGTTGTTTGGATACGACTTGTAGATATTATGTAATTTGCGATAAAATAGAAATGGGACAGATGGCATCCATCTTTTTTAATAGATTTGGCACTACTTTATTTTATTTATGTTTCGCTATATATCTATACGGAGATTTAAGCATTTATGGTGCAGCAATCGCGAAGTCACTAGCAGATGTCGCCTGTACTTATTTGCCAAAAAATCTTACCTGCAATGACACTGTACCAGATACTGAACTTTGCTGGGAAGGTCCTATGTTTACTCGACTGGATGTGTATAGAATATTCCTGGTATGTCATCGATTTGCAAAATTACACACATTTTGGCCCTTTTGAATTTGCTGAGATCAAGGATGCATTCCTTTTTCACACTCATATTTTTTTGTAAGCATGTCAATTCATCCTTATTATCAATCAAATTAAACAAAGACAAATGAATGCTTATAAGCACCGTAAATGCAAAACGGTATGATAATGATTGTTATGCTATTTTTATTTATTTTCAGACCATGTTTGTATTATTATTGGGTCCCTTTGTATTTTTCAACGTTCAAAAGACCAAGTATCTTCAATTACTGACTTCGGTAATGCGATGGCTCGCATTCACTATAATGATCATATATGCTATAAAAAATCTTTTTGTACACGGCCCTCGTGGCGATCCACCTATTGCAAATTTAGCCGGTAAGCTATGAATTTATATGATTACTAACAGATTACATTGACTAACAGTGTCATTAGATATACATTAGAGTAATTATATGAATATTAAGTATCAATGATTTTAACAATATCGTTAATTATCATTTTAGGAATTCCAAGTCTTTTCGGTGCTTGCGTTTATTCCTTCATGTGTCATCATTCGTTACCGGCCTTGGTTACACCAATAGTGAACAAGTCTAAACTAAGTCAATTCTTAGCTCTCGATTACACCTTAATTGCTCTCTTTTATTTACTATTAGCTCTAACTGGCATCTTCGCCTTTCAGCGTTTGGACGATCTTTATACTTTGGACTTTGGACCACGTGGCTTAGGCAATTGTTCCAAGAGTGACAATATTTTTATGCTCTTTATGGAGTATTTTTTAGCCCTTTTCCCAGTATTTACTTTGAGTACTAGCTTCCCCATTATAGCAATTACACTCCGAAATAATTTGCAGACACTCTTTTTAAAAGAGGATACATCTTACAATTTATGTCTTCGGAAACTTGTCTTCCCCGTCTTGGCGATAATACCACCGTATTTGATCGCGATTATTACCAAAGATCTGTCAATATTAGTTGGTATCACAGGCTCGTATGCCGGAGCAGGAATACAGTATTTAATACCTACATTTTTAGTTTATTATGCCAGACAAAAGACTAACAAGATTATTGGTCTTGGGGTCATGAACAAATTCGCAAGTCCTTTCTCAGGCAGATGTTGGTTAGTTTTCGTCGTAGTATGGGCTGTTACTTGTATGATTTTAGTATCGGTTAATTTTATACAAATACATTTGCAATCTTGGATCAGTCAATAACAAAATCAATATTATTTTTAGCAAAAGGGAAAAGAACTTTATGTTTGTGCTAAAAGCTCCATCATAGAAACGAATGCAGAATGTTTACGAGAAACTAGACTATGGATATCCATTGATATGTTTCAAAACTTATCATAGCAAAAATATAGATATCATAGACTATGTTTATACGACATCCTTAATCAGATTTAATAATATTAATCAGATTTAATAATATTAATAATAAATTGTTGAAATTGTAGCCATTTCTCTGAAGAATGGAATGATTAGACCAGTGTCGTAATTATATATCAATTATAATATAATCAATGTTATTAAATCCGCTTATAAGGATGTCGTATAAAGGTAATCGTAGAATTAACAGAGTTAACAGTCAGTCGATATTGATATCGACTGATGTCGAGCGCTTGGGTCGAACTAAAATAATTAAACTCTAAAATGATAGACACGAGATAAGAGCGACGATACAATACGATCTGTAACGTGACTAATCTTTGCGATCTGTGAAATCCTTTAACGAAATATCGACAAGTAATGAGTTTTTTACAATAAGCCATTAGCTTCAAGTCTTAAGTCATAAGAAATTGACCAATCAATCGATTATTTTTTTAAAGCTTAAATAATGGCTTATTGTAGAAAATCCATAAGGTGATCATTATTTATGGCAGGATACGTACATACGTACATACAGTAAACCGACAATACTTCGATACACACAAGTCGGTGTACAAGTCAAATATCAGATAGATTTAACATAGGAAATATTTAGAAATGTAGAAATCTGTAGAAAAAAAAGGTTTAGAACATATATTTTACTTTTTTATCCCGGGACAGAAATGCATGATTTTTTTTTATTATAATATATAGATATTCTAATTGAATATGAATGAATTTCCGTCATTGTATTTATATTTTATACGCTAAAATAATTCGTATTCGTGTATTTTTAATAAAATAATATTAATGTATGTGATAATAGAGGCAATAGCAAAAGTATGATATTACGATGATGTTCTTTTTGAGATTGTATTTTTGTACAAAATACGTATGTGAAACTGCCAAAAAAGTATTTGCAATATGTCCGTCACATCTGTATATCTATAGATCTGTTTCTTATTGCTGCACTCTTGTGAAATAAGTTAAAACAAACCTATATTTGTTTCACTTCAATTTATTGCACTGTGTGTACTAGTTTAGAAAGTGCAGCAATAAAAAACAGACTTTGTATGTATACAGATACACAGGATACGAGTGTAGCATATAATAAAGAATATTGTAAACTATGTGCATATGTGCCGTGCGCGCATACAAACAAGCGCGCACAAAAAGCAATTGAAATGGATAATAATAAATAGTTGATTGTATGTACAAGTTTTTCTATCGATTTATTTGCACCAGCACATGCGTGCGTGCAAACATACACATTTCTACGTCCTTGTATATTATTTATTTTAAACTGAGAGATCTGCATGAAACAGACCTTAACAGATATATATTTTTCTTTAAGATTTCAACGATATCAGACAGTACGAGAAAGCGCGATAAAAGATATTTTTGATAAAATTTTATATCCTTGGCCAAGTGAATTAGCGTGGAATGCCTTTGTTATTTAAGCACAATATCTGTGAAATCTTGATCATAAAGCAACTTTATTATTTTTCTTATACCTGTGACAACAGACTATATATAATAATAATTGTAATAAACAAAGGACGAATTAGTATTCTATTCAAAGAGATTAGTGAATTACTCAGTGAAATTAGTTTATCACAATAATTTTGTATTTGTTTTCGAATCAATTCTGAGAGATAACAATGATATAGGTGCAACCTGTATGCTTAAGATTATATTTCATCAATTTTCAATAAGCGAAAATTTGTCGTTGCATCTGAAGCTGTGAAAGAAAAAATAAAAAAAATGCGCTGTTTTTTACGTATGTAAAATTACACATAGGTGTATGAGAATGTGTCATATGTATATGAACGTAAGTGAACACTTTGGAGTGAACATATATGCTATTAGATAATGTATATCCTGCACAATTCGGGTATATATATTTAATATTTACAATAAATAGCACTTTTGTGTACATGTATGTAGACTATTTGATTTATCCTTTTGGTTTCCAACGGACGAGCTTCTTACTAGATTAAATTATTGAGATATTTGAATGAGATATTAGATGATGAATATCTCCAAGCTGCATACATTTGGAAATTAGTTTGTACTAGTTATCCTTTCTTTTCATTCGTCAGTCTTAAATGTTACGAATACTGCACATACTTATCTATTGATATACAATGTTTTCAAAGTCTTGTAAACTTATTTTTTACTTGATAGTCAACTTGATTTGAAATTGTTGTATTTTGAAATAGTGTTTTTGTATTTTGGCATTGATTTAATTAAATTAAATTAAGATTAAATCGAGATATCAACATGTGTGTGTGTGTGTGTGTGTGTGTGTGTGTGTGTGTGTGTGTGCGTGTGTGTGTGTGTGTGTGTGTGTGTGTGTGTGTGTGCGTGCGTGCGTGCGTGTGCGCGCGTGTATGTTACATATAACATAGTAATTAATATTGTTGAGTAATTAACAGATTCTTACTCTTTTTTTCTTGGTTACTTAAAAAAAAGTTCGAATAACTTGAACAAAGATAAAAATGTATATCACATATCGTCGCGTGTGTGACAACGGAATTTATATGCGTATGTGTAGATCCAGAGAGCATAATGGCTAGATTCGTTATATTTTATAAATATTAATGTTTACAAGAGATTTTATAGACTAACTACTAATCAAAGTTTGTTATAAAGAAAAATCCGTGCAGAGGACAAAGACTTTAATAATATATTAGGTGTAGTAAAAAGAAATCTATTATTTTTGCATGAAATTGAATGGAAAAATAATGGATTTCTTTTTACTACACCTAATATATCTAATAATTCGAAACGAGTAATCTGTACGTCAAGTAATACTGATGAGCTCTCTTCTTCTTCTTCTTTTATAAATTAGATAGTTATTCGTAATTATTTAAATAGGGACAGTGCGTATCCTCATGACCTACACACTCTATTACCGGATCATGCGCGCTGTCCCACATTCCTGGACCACATTGTCGACATAGTCCGGCTAATGTGCAAGGTAATCGCACGAGTTGACGGAAATGATGAAGTAAGCCTCGTGCCTTTCTAAGTATAATGTTTCCATCCATGTACATGGCCAATGAACTGAAATGTAGCAACATTTCGTCCGTTCGAAGATCTTGGGCGATCACGTCGTCCGCATAAACGCACATTATAGCGAGGCAAAGAAATAAGTGGAAATGATCTGTTAAATAATTGACCCAGCAGGCTTCCCACATGACCAACGCTATTTCGGTTGGGAATTCTCTCTTTAAGCATCTGCATCGAAAAAAAAGTGGAATAAAGATAAAATTATGCGCGAGCCAAAAATTATGTGAAATCTACTATAATAGTATAGCATAGTATAGTTTTTTACTATTATATGAGATATATGTATATGTATGGGGCATAGTTGTACGTACAAGAGTATCCATCGATGACAAAAAAGAAGCTCCAAGGCATCCGCGTGTTTTTGAAGATGCGTATAAAAATCTGGTACCATGATTCTTACTAATTCTCGAAGATAGCATAGATTTCTGTCCATATCTATATCCGTCGGAGTGCACACGGCTACCGATCTTTGCATCAAACCCGCGAAACACCAGAAGGCCTCGATTTCAGAGTTGAGTTCGGCTAGTAATGGAGCCAAGAGATCGGACATTCCTTGAGTGTAACCCAAGCGGCAATTGTATACCGCATAATTGAGTAAAATATTCCTGCGAGAGAAAACGGAAAAAAAAAGAAATAATAACAAGCCACGCAAATAATATATATAGCAATAGTATAAATTTGGAGATGAGACGGCAAGAGAAGGGAGGGGGAGGAAAGAGAGAGAAAGAGAGAGAAAAGAGATTCTTAGAAGCATTAGAGTAACTAGTCTGGATACTCACTTCATTATTTCGACATTGGGATTACCCTCACCGGAGTAATATGGATTAGCCCTATCCGTGCGAACAACATCTTTTTCCACTATGCACACTACGTTTCGCCAGAAACGCTCGGCTTGCTCTGAATTCATGCTTAGTCTGCGTTTCTGTATTTCTTCGTATTCTTGCTGCCTAATGGCGTCGATCTGCTCTCTATCCTCGTACGTACTTTGATAAGAGTAACAGTGCAACAGGAAAGGCCAAACGATCTTTCGTAACGCTGGTTCCAAACCCCCAAAAAATATTCCTTTACGAAGAGCGAGGTCGTCCTCCATCTGGCCCCGTTCATTCAATAAATCTTTCCAAGCTAGCGACGTGATCATCGGTACTTGACCCTCTTCGGGATGCAGCTCGTCTCGACTTACTTCCGGCCGACATACCATAAAATGCCTGCACAACGCGTTACAGTCGTATCAATAATTGAAGTGAATATCATAAATCGTTATTTGACAGAGAAATTTGCAATTTTTATCATACATTCTAATAATGTCTGACCTGTACGGCAAACTCTCTTCTGTGTCGGTGTTTAAACGCGGATAAAGCAATTGATGCCACTGATGTAAAATGGCGGCTAGCCGGTCCAAACCACCGTGATGGAAATGTAAGATCTTGTATTGACTCTCTCTGCTTGCGACGACCAACTGACCGCAGGTGCAAGCAGGATCAGCGAAGAACAGCCGCAAGGATCGCATCTCGCTGAGATCCACCGAGAACCTTCTGCATCGATGTGCTCTACGCAACGTCACGGGCGATGCGGTCGCGCTCTCCGGAAAGACAAGATTGTGTTGTAACGCTAGAAGTTCCGGAGACCTCATCCACGACGGCATTTCTTCCGCTGTAGAAACAATGTCATCGCTAATATCGTTAATTGTATGAGAACAATAGGTGGTTACCATTTTTTTCTATTCTACCATCGGTGGATACCGAGATGGACCAACTGCACGTCGACGTTAATGACAAGCTGCGACTCTTTATGCTGACATCGTCACGATATGAGAAGCGTCCTGGCTCCTCATCGATCTCGTTAAAAGAGTCTCGCTCTTTCAGCAGTCGATCTCTATTATCGTTCTTTTCGTTGAATCCACTCGAATCCGCTCGATTCGGAGGATTCTCGATCTCGGTCTCGATAGCGATGGCGGCATTTTCGTCATTGCAATCAAGAATGATGCCTGGATTTCGATGAGGTGGAAAATCATTGCCATAACTGGAACGACAGATGGAACTGGAACAAACGCGTTCGCAGTCTCCGCAATCGATGGACTCTTTTGCTTCCAAGCACACATCTAGTTTCCCATTTCCGTTATCGTTCTCCGTACTATTCTCATGTTCATGTTCATGTTCATGTTCATTTTCGTTCTCAAGCTCGCGTCTCACGTCCGAAACATTGAGGGAATTTGAGGGGCCGGAGGCCGGGACACAGGAACTCGGGCAGGTTGCGATAGCGTTCCTGCTACTCAGATTCTCCAACGCTGTAGGATGTTTGCGCAACGTGCTGTTGGGTATCCAACTTAGGTGCAAAGTCGGTATTGGCAAATTGTTGGAATTGTTGTTCAACTTGCAAGTTATAGTCATATATCCAGGATGATGCACCACGTCGGCGTGCTGTCTCATTAACGTAGGAGGATGCACACAGACATTATTTTTGCAAAATAATGCCTCGCCATCTTGATAAATGACGCGCCGATTGTCCTGACCGCACTCACCAAGGATATAGTTACTCGCTTTTCTCCAAATATTTGGAAGAGGCATTGTTGATCGAGCGATTACTTGATTTAGAGTCAATTACTTTTCGCTGTTAGTTTCTTTTTTTTCGCTGTAAAAGGACGTGATAAACTTGACATTATTCTGTTGAAAAGTCGTAATCGTTTTTGTTAATAGTTGCATGAAAGTCTTAATTGTTTATTATATCATATTATACCTACACTTATATGTGAGATGAACGACAATGACGACGACTCTTTTGCCTTAAGAAGTAAGAGTTGAAGAAAATTCTGAAATGACGAGCGACATTGTTGTTGCGAACGGAGCCAGTCGGAAGAGGACGTAGACGTAGACAGAGACAGAGACGGAGGATGAACATAATCACAATTATGTAATAATTAAAAGCATTGGATGAATTGGATTCGCCTCGGCAGAGGTACTCGTCTACGACTTGTCTTTCTGCGTAGCGTATGTGAGTATATGCGCGCTTACACACGCGACCGCGTTATCATTATCACTTATTGTTAGCCTCGTTACATACCATTACATACGGAGCATACTCGACAATACGCAATAATACGTATCCGCGTCATAATTGTAACATCCCGCGTTGTTGTTGCCTTCCGAATTGCACCATTTCCACGATAATGAATTCCGAGACAACAACTCTGCCATTCTTCGCTCTTCTTCACAGAGAAAAATGGATATTCTGGAAAACTCTGGTAATATCTCGAGATTGCGTTACGAGTTATTGTTGAAATGTTGTGTACTCGGAATGTACTCTTAATTGAGATAGAAAAAATAAAATTGGTGAGATCATTTGCACAGCAATTAACGTAAACGATTTCTAAATCGCTGAAAGGTTCAGGCTGGCATTCTTAATTTCTTACTACTTGTGTAGTACTGGTGCTTAATGCGCGAGCGCCGCGCCGTCGTCGTTGCCGCTACGGCGCAAGCACGCGCCGTACTAGGTCGATTTTCTCATAAAATCCGCTTCAATTGACACTAGAGTCTACAATGACTACATTCTGAAGATGCGTACGCGACGCAGCACTATTGTAACTACTTATTAAAAGTATTTCTGCAAAAGTATTTCATTTTCCAACATGCAACGACAGGAACGAAGAGCGTAGCTCTTCAATCAACGACGCATTTATACTTTTTTCGCTACATTTGCCATGGCCTGCCTTGCCATAAACCGTTTTTATCGATTATTCAACGTTTCGCTTTTACTTTTAATCGATCGTCCAATTTCTCTCTCTATACACTCTCTCTATACACAAACTCTTTCTCTCTTTTTCTTACTCGAGGCTAAAGTCACATCAATTATGTTGTGAAATTACAATAAAGAATCTCAATCATTTCACACCTAATTCAAAATGTTGCAATTAAGTGCGAGCTTTAGTTATTTTAACGTATTTCTAATCAAAGTAGTAAATTTTCAAATAATATAAATGCATGATGTTTAATTTTGTGTGTGTGTGTGTGTGTATGAGAGAGAGAGAGAGAGAGAGAGAGAGAGAGAGAGAGAGAGAGAGAATATCCTTAAATAATAATATATTATATTGAAATTAAACATTTATTATGAATGTACGAGTCCATAAATCGCTGTAATATCGATTGCAACAATGTTTAGTAAAGCTCATAGTTAAAGAGTATCTTGTGATCGTTGTCACCTGACACTAGTCCTGACTTAGGTCCGCGTTTAAGATATGATATTGTAGAATATGCTGAAAAATGAAAGTCCTCTTGTAGGTAACCATTTATCAGCAAATACCCTATGATAGCCTCTGCGGTTTCTCTCGTAAAATTTGGTACAGGTACGTTAGAAACTCGCAATGACGAGACACCTTTCCAATACCAAGCATCTACCAGTTTCAATGCGGTTAATCGTATTTCATTTTGCACAGCTTTAGTCATAATCTGATATAATTGTCTACAATAATGTGCTACGTCGATTTGCTTTCTAACGCTTATAGGTTTCCTACAATGATCACACATCTCTGCACAGTCGTTTTCTTTCCAATTTTCTTCAAAGTGAGTCGCTATTAAACTCCGTCTACAGGAAGTTTGATCTAAGCAATAGGCCAATACTTTATACAAATTTTGCAATCCGACTTTATCTTGAAACACCATGGTACTCAATTTAAATATATCCGCTAATCTATAGAGCACAAGACACACCGACTTTTTGCCATCTCTACCCGCTCGACCACTCTCCTGATAAAAATTTTCCATCGATTTGGAAACGCAATGATGAATCACGAATCGCACATCCGGCTTGTCAATACCCAATCCAAAAGCGATAGTTGCCACTACCACTTGATACTTGCCTAACATCCACTTGGAGTAAACTTCTGATCGGTAATTGGCTTCGAGCATTGCGTGGTAGCATCCAGCCTTGATACCTTTATCTCTCAAATCAGTTGTCAATTGTTCCGCGTCTTTAATAGTAGTTGTGTAAATTATACCCGACTTGCCGTTAAATCGATTCTTCAACAGATTTTCTATCATCGCGAGACGTGTCTCCTTATCAGCTGGTTTGCGACGAACTTCATAATATAAATTAGGTCTATTGAATGAAGCTCGTAAAACTAGGCAACCACTAATGTCTAGCATTTTCTGCACGTCTACGATGATTTTAGTCGGGGCCGTTGCAGTCAGACCTAGAATCGGTATTCCAGGGAACATAGATTTCAATACTCCCAAGAACTTATAATCAGGTCTGAAATCGTGTCCCCATTGACTACAGCAATGCACCTCATCGATCGCAAACCGTTCTAGATGACCCAACTCGTATGCTTTTTGCAGTTTATTCATGAAGCGATTGGACTTTGCCATGTATTCAGGTGTTATATAAATCAGTTTAAGAGGGCAACTTTTATCCACGAGAGCCGTCATAGTCATTTTGATACTCTCCTTATCAGCCTTCGCACACAGCATATTAGCTTTTATATCGAGTTTACGCAATCCGTACAACTGATCTTCCATTAAGGATACTAATGGTGAAACTACCACCGTTATACCTTTACTCATCACAGCCGGTAATTGATAACATAAACTCTTGCCACCACCCGTAGGCATAATCAATATCACATCTTCTTTGGACATGATCGCATTCATAGTCGGTAACTGTAACTCTCGTAGCTTTTCTATCTTGAATACATTCTTTAATATCTCTATGAGTTTTACAGACCAAATGAAATCCGCATTGTCCCAATTCTTCTTGGCCAGAAAAAAACTTTTCTTTAAAAGAGCATCGTCACGCAATTTCTCTTTCCGTTGTGTCAATAATCTCCTACGATCCTGTAATTTCTGTACCTCGTTCTCTATCTGTTGCAGCTCATAATCAATGGCAGCTATCTCGTTGTTCTCCGTAGCTAAAATTTTCGAGGACAAGTTCTTAGTAGCTAATCTCGTTGACAAGGAATTAAGCTAATAATAGGGAGTTTTTGCAATACCGTTTATCCAGATACGGTAAGGTCAAGTTTAGTTCTTCTTCTTAACAATTAGATTCTTTAATGAAGAAAAGGATAACGTGAGACTTTCACCGTTTCTACATGTTCATGTTATTGCAAAAAATCCATAATATCTCAAATGATTTGATTATATCATAAATTATTAGGAAGCAATATCTTGCAGATACAAATCTCGAGATTGAAATTAATTAATAACGCTTCTCTACACGTAGTGTTGATGTGTTTAATGAATGCAAAAGTAAAAAACGTATTATGAATTTTAGAAATGTTACAATAAAAATATGGATTTTGGAAATAAAAATGTTTCATTTTACACATTTAACCAACCTTGACACTCGTCATCTATCATAATTACGTGTTCTCTAGTGTCGCTAATAGACATCCTAATCGACTATATCCTTCACGTTGAAATCCAGAAACTGTGAAATTTAATGAATCACAAAGATATAACTATTTTATCAACATTGAACTGTTATTGACCCTAATAACCTACAACATTTTGCCACATTTAGCTTTGTCGCATCGCATGTTCCAATATGCTCCTTATAGTCATAATTCTTACTCACTCCAATACCCTCATTAGAGTGAATAGCAGCAACTATAGCAAGAGCATTTTGAAGCATGCGACGCGAATAAACCTTTTTACATATCAAAAAAGATTTCATTCAGATTCAGGGTTGCCAACTTTTTAAGAGATTTTTCCACGAGGTAAGGTTCAATTGAAAAAAGATAAAATCCATGATTTCTTCAAGGGTCCTTTTCATGCGTCACGAATTTTAAAATGTTCGTTTTTTAAATCACGTGAGCACATTTATTGCCAGCGACAACTGAAATCCATGAAAAGTGTTTACAGATCACTGACCTTACCACTGACAAGATAGCAGACAAATTGAATATTTCTGATTTATTTATGTCTATATAATTTGGGAATCGTTTGGGGAAATTTGAGAAAAGCATTTAAACATTTGGAAAATAGTATTTTTCTTGTAATTAACAAATTTTATCATGCGTCAAGTTAGCAGACAGCGATTTTATTTAATGTGTTTTATGAATGAAATCGATTAGAAATTATTTGGAGAAGATTCATTCATTATTTTCAGTTTGGGAACAGTCACTATTTGATAATTCAATAGATTTACACATTATGAAAACAAACAAAGCCCGGGTGTAAGCTCGGGTATGGGTGTAGTAAGTGTAGTACAATGAATATAGTAAACCTAAGATTTTTTTCACATCGCATGTTCTAACATGCTCCAATGTGTTCCGTTATAGCTTCTACTCACTTCAAGCGCGTTAGAGTGAGTAAATGCTATAGTAGGAGCATTTTAGAGCATGTCAGAGCATGCGATGTGAACAAATTTTTAAAATCGTAAAAAATTAACCAATTAAGCCCGGATCTAATTATGCGTAGTAAAAAATTATGTGTAATAAGAAATCAACTTAATCATAAACTTAATTATATTCGACTAATTTTTTTCACTTTCAACTGTGATTGATTAATTCCTTATGGCTTAAGGCTTTTTACATTTATTGTACTATCCGAGTGAAGTTTGAGAACGATGATCTAACATTGGAGTATTCGGATTTCGGAGTAATAAACTTTGAACAAAAAAATATACAATGAAGAAGAAAATTTATTACGTGTTATACTCTTAATTTGTAAATATTATTATTATTTGAATACACTTCAAGAAGAAACATATATGTAGATGCATATGTGTATAATAATCATTAAATGAATAAATGTACATATTTTATAAATTAACGCAAATTGCTTTCACGTCTAGAAGAAATACTTAAATATTTGTTAGATGTATAT